GTCATGAGAAAAGATGTCCGGCTCTTGTGGGTCAATGACAAGTGGTGTGCGACTGGACTCGCTTCGTTCACGGATCATTTGTGGGACTTTTGGCAACAAAAGGCGGTGGCAGAGTCCGAATCCTCTTCAGCTGGAGGACTTTTGCGTCGTTTGGACTTGGGCATGGAGCAGGACTTCTATTGAAAGAACTCTACATACCGAAAGATTCGCGCCAAATCTGTTGTCCGTGCTCTTCACTAGATTAGTCATGTGACGCCTTATCCACATCAGCGCCTCCAGTTCTGAATTTCGCACATGATAAACCTTTTGAAAATTGATGCCCTCCCTATTCATCAATTGTTCCAATCTATTTGCTAGAAGTGTCAGTGTGATTGACCAACTTGAAGACTACTCAACAACTTAAGTTTCAAACGCAACCTATACTTTTAAGAAGTTGCTAATATTAGAATAAAGTAAAAAAATCAATCAAAACTAGATGAACAATGTGATAATTTGATATACATTTTTAAATTATATAAAAAATCAAATTAAATAAATATATATATATAATAAAATTAAAAAGTATATATCGAATTTCTAAAATTTTTGTAGGTAGTAGTTTTCTATATGAATATTATTCAATAGATTATTTCCCAAAAATGTCTGTTAATTCAATTGAAATTTTAATATTCTATTATTTATTATAGAATTTTCTATCAATTTTTTATTTGATACCTTATTTTTTTATACTCTACAAGAGTAATTAGATTTTTTTCAAATCCAAAAGAAGTATCACATTTGATTCAGGATTTCCATATATAATTACAAATCTAAATAAAAATAAAAATAAATATTATAATAGATCAAGTATTTAAAACCAATCGTTGTCATCACTTAAAGGTCAATTATATTAAATAGAAGAAGATTCCTTCATTTAAATACTTAAAAATTATTAATTTTGTTCATACAAATCCAGCATAATTTTTGCGATACATTTGTTCTCATTTTTGCGATATATTTCTTAGAATGAAAGAATTTACTATCTTAAAATGTTTAGATAAATAAGCATTCTGATTTTGAACATTTTTGGTGTAGATCATTTTGTACTGAATTTTTTTATCATGGATAATTTTGATTTAAATTGTAGAATGAGTGCAACGTAATGATGTGTATATATTCAAATTAGGATTCTGTATGATATGTTTTGTCTATCACCTAATAAGTGCTAGTATCTATGCTATGATACTTCAATTATTTTGAATAATTGTTTTAACTTCAATACAAGTTGAATTTAAGATTAAATTTAGGTGTAGCACATGTAAAATGAGTCTTGAAGCTCGAATATAGCTTGCAATTGAGCCTGGGATATATTCCAAGATATAATAATTTTAGTTAAAAATAATTGTCAGATGTTTCAATTTATAATCAAAAGATGTATATCCAATCGTAGTTAAAATCTCAAATCTCACATCCGACACTATATTATAAAATTTTCTCAAAAGAACTTAACATTGAAAATTTATTTCAGTTTTTTAGTTGAGTCAATTATGCAACATGATAGATTGATACATTTCAAAGTTTTGAAACCAATCATTTTTACGGTTCGTCTAAAAAAGTGACACAACACAATCACAATCACAATATTTCATTTCTTTTGGAAAAGTTTACTCAGGGCTACCATCTATCTGTGATAAACTTCATAGTTGAATAAAATTAGAAGCTTAATTTACCTTGATAGATAAACCATTCTCTGATCGCACATCTGTATTACATGCATATAATCTTTTCATATGATAATAAGAGGTCTAGATTAAGCAAAATTATCAAGATCACAATGAAAGAATATACTTCAATGCAATCAGCGTGCTTTGAAGATGTAAGCGTTAAAACATATGCTATCTTAGATGTGAGCGTGATCCACAGTTCTCTTTATCATTCTTCCGACTGATATTAGTAAATGATGATGTGTGTAGCACTTTTTTGATACGCAAAAATACATAGTGCGAAATGAGTCGAGATAAATCTAGTTCTCGATCTCAGCAGCGAAGTGAAATGAGCATGTTAAAGGCTGAAGTGTGGCAAATCCAATTAAAACCATATTGCTATCATAGAAGTTGACTGTACGGTGTGGAAAGATCGTATGAAAGCTCGCATAGCCAAGCATAAGCCTCCATTCTTTAATTGGTTCATTTGAGGATGTGTCTGGACCAAGCTTGCCTTCCATGGGTCTCCCTTTTCAGCTTTTGTATCAATTAAGCAGCTTACATTAACTCTATGTAATAAATTAAAAAACCCACAAAATTGCAATTCAGGAGAGCAAAAGGAAAACGCACGCGATAAGAAAAGGACAGATTATTCAAATGCACCAAAATGTGGAATAAGCATCGGATCGCTAATCTTAAAACTTTCTAAGTGCAAGTTTGCGGTGCGTAATATCAGGAAGTTAAAACAGAAACCTTAACAGAACAATCACTTAAATACAAAATCCACAGTAATAACAGTGCAGCTCGGGTTCTGTTAGCGTAACTATCAGAGGAATGTCACGACAAGTCTGACACAACTAATGAGAGGAGGCGAACACGGAATTTAGTATGGAATTTGCCAACGAATAAGATAAATATGATATATATAAATTATTTATCTATTTAGACAGTCAAGTTTAAAAAACTATCGTGTCTTGTATGTAGAATAATGAGGCTCTCTTTACTCGATTTCATGTTTGACAATTACAGCGGCTCTCGCTGTCGGCTCAGCTTTTCTGGAGGGATATACCTCCTCCTTCAGTTCCGAACTTTGGTGGCGATTCCCTTCCGGGTAGGCAGTGTGTGGTCAGTGGCTATGAGCCGTTGAGCCCTTTCTTTTCTCCAGGTAGATGGATCTTTCTTTCGTAGGGCCGGTGGGTCTACACGTCGTTGTAATACACGAAAACGTAGTCCAACGCGCTCCGTCGATGTGGGCAGCAAAGTCTATACTCCCATGCAAACTTTAGTTTGTCACCTCTCGGTCACAAACAAAATCTCTTTCTCGAAGAAGTTATCGTTCACATTTTCATGTGATACATATCGTTTTCACATTCTTATATTGTGCTGACGGTGTAGGTTTTTTATCAACAATAGTTGGCTCAATAGGAAGGAGAGCAACACTCGATATTTCTTGGCTTCTCTGTACCAAGTAAACTGTTTCATCTAGATATGTTCGGTGGAATAGTACATATTTCCCAATGTGATGCTATTGGTGCCTACTCCAGAAGACCCTTTCGGTTTCACTGCCATAAGACAAGGTGGGGTCTTCCCAACCTTTTTTGCTGTATCAGTCTGGCATTACTTGTTTTCAAATTTTCATGTGCTACAGGACATTGATGTCCGGTAGATTTTGTCGTTGTAATTTCTGCATGCCCTTGCTTATTTCGAGAACTGATCTCAGACTTGTGCATACGTTAATGTTTTTCGACCTCATAGCTCGGGTGACTCTCCACAGTCCTGTCAAATTCCAGCAACCGATCAAACACACATCTTCGTCAATTTCGCGGACCATGAAAGACGTGTATATTAATCATTGGGTACTCGAAGTTTGTGTGAAAGAAACAATTAGCAACAGTAATAACTGGATCTTTGGCGATTTCCTCCTACTGTAACATGTTCAAGTTTAGGTGTCTCGAAAGCTACTCCACTAAAGTCATCATGCAGCGAAATCGGAAACAGGATAGTAAGCGGAGACCACCCACCAAGATCAACGAAGTGGAAAAGCCCAAAGCCAGACGAGCTGACTTTCGAGGTCGAGAGATATCGCAGAGGATTCAGCGGTTCCAGTGACTTTCCCTGACTGACCTCAGGCTAAACTACACCTTGAGCTTTTGTATTGATGAAGGTAGAAAAATGACCAATATTCTTCATACATTTGTATCGAAAAATCTTCTGTAAAGCTAGCCTCTCACCTTAACCGAGGGGAGAAATATCATGAACCTAAACCTAAATATCTGAAAGTAAAGAAATTCCGACGTAAATGCGAGCAGGGAGAGAAGAGGCAAGAGTTGTTTTTCGCCTCTGGCTAGCGCAGGGTATTCAAGACTACATGACTCTTCCCAGCGACTCTCCATTTTCGTGAAATAAGTTTTCGCTGGATTGTTCGATACACAATAAATTGTACTGCACTGCACCTATAACCACGCAGCAAAGTCACCTAACCAGACCGTCATCCCCGCAACGCGTCACAGTCCCAGATCACGGGCAAGCAGCAGGAGCCCTTCTTCCAGCCGTGGCATTCGCTAACAGCAGATGGGAGGACAGCGAAATGTAGCTTTTAGGAAGATCTAACATTTGACCAATCAACCTCTGAGAGTCCGCAAAGGACTTGCACAACTCAGAGTTTCATTATATTCCAGGAGATTTTGCTGAATCTGGTAGGAGGCCAGCGGCAGCTTGCAATGGAAAGCCGGAGCCAGTCCACAATCGATAAGACAATTGCAAGCCCAGGTCTTCAGCGAGAAATAGTTGCCTGTTGTGGGTCTTACTCCTTCCAACACTGGCAACCAAACCTGGCTGTAAATACTTTCACAGAAGACCGTAACCTGAAGATGCAGCCACTGTAGTCGCAGCACCTGGGGGAGGGCACTTGGAAGGACTTGCTTGAGCTTTCCCGAACGGAAGGCAGCAGTGAGAGTGAGCGAGAGACCTTGTCGTGGGTGTGTCTACAGCGACGGATCGGATGATCCGCAGCGTTAGTGACTTTCTAAAGATGGAGGCGACGAGTGTCGCTGTGGCGGCTGTGACCTCAGGATGAGAGAAACAAACAAACGAATCAAGGGCCAAAGAGCAAGGCCGCATGCTTTCCTTGTGCTGTCAAGGTGACAGACCTCGTCAATGAGTACAGCATGCGCGGACTCCTGAGCATCGACCAGTCTGCAGACCGCGTCGCTACCGTAGACATGTGACATCCCTTTAACGGATTCGGCTGGTGGCTTTTCTCTCGCTGTGGACCCGGGCCTGGACCTCCTTCCGTCACCCTGATGACTGAGCTCCTCTGGCCCAGGATTTCAGCATCTTACATAAGCCTTACACTCCCCGCCGGAATCTCTCAATCAGTCAGTCCCTGCATCTGTTTCTCGTCCCGCTCTTTCTACCACTGCACTCACCACACCTTCAAAGGTGCTGCAATCGGAGCCAGCCAGGGAGATCAATAAGTTGCGGAGTGTGAGTGAGCTAACGAAGATCGTTCAGTGTACATTTTCATTTGAGTGGTCAAGGAGTTACACATTGGATCTCCGTTTCAGTCAATTTGCCGAGGGGAGAGAAATAAAGCCTGTGAAAAATTTGACGTTTTAGAGAGCTTGCGGCTCGGGGTGTATGACCAGTGGCTAGAGATAAGAAAAGAGTGGATCTTGAACAGGGAGGGTTTCTCGAGGTCGTGTTATCGTGCGATTCAGCGCCATTGTCTGGAGCGGAGTGCACAGTGTAGGCTCTGTTGGAGAGGTAATAGTGAAAGCTGCCAGTGGGCGGATTGCAAATACGCAGGGATCACATTCATGAGCTCCCTTTGTTTAATCAGTCTTGAGAGAACACCAGCATTTATATAGAGATTAGGGCTACTTCGCTGTTGAGAAGGAGAAAGGGCGATCGATCGAGAGCAATTGAACTCGTGGATTTCTTCCAGAGTCAAGAGTCCGAATCCCTGTTTGTAGAAGCTTCCAGGTGATTGACGAGGTTTTCTCGACGAGAAGACCTCGAGAAAATCACCCACGAAGCGAAGAGCTTGGTGCGTAAGCACTATGGCGTTGCACTTGGGCCTCGCCGCTTCCCCGACCACCGGTTTGGGATTCGCGGACTCAGCTGTTCTCGGAAATCGGAGCGTGACTTCGGTGAAGAGCTGTCCGAGGGCCGTGCACCACACCGTCAAGCAAGATGGCTGCCGAGCTCGCTACAACATGGGATCCGTGACCTGGCCCTTGAATGAGTCTCCATTCACCGAGGAATTGAAGCAAGGGCGACCTGCCCAATGGCAGAGCTACTGCGCAGTCCTGTCCAGCCAGTGGCTGGAAGAAGAGCAGGAACTGAAGGAGAGCATGAACGGGAGTGCGAATTTGGCCTACTCCTCAGGTGGAGCACGAGAGCTCGTGACATTGCCCAAGGTTCTGTCCACCAACACCGACTTGGCTCTCCAACCCCGCCATGGATCTACTCTGCGAGTCGCCTACCAAGGAGTCCCCGGTGCTTACAGTGAGTCCGCCGCAGCGAAAGCTTATCCAGGATGCGAGGCAGTCCCGTGCGAGCAGTTCGACACCGCCTTCCAGTCTCTCGAGCTGTGGCTCGTGGACAGAGCCGTCCTCCCGATCGAGAATTCGCTCGGAGGAACCATCCACAGGAATTGCGATCTTCTGCTGCGCCACCGACTTCACATTGTAGGGGAGGTCCAATTGCCAGTGAACCATTGCCTTCTTGCCCTGCCTGGAGTCCAGAAAGAGCATTTGAAGCGGGTCATCAGCCATCAGCAAGCTTTGGCACAATGCGAGCAGACTCTGTCCAAGCTCGGCGTCGTCCGCGAGGCTGTCGACGATACAGCAGGTGCGGCTCAATTCATTGCCGCCCATGGAATCAGGGACACTGGAGCGGTCGCAAGTGCAAGGGCGGCGGAAATCTACGGGCTGAACATCCTGGCGGAGGGCATCCAAGACGACAAGGCGAATGTGACGAGGTTTTTGATGTTGGCGAGGGAGCCCGTGATCCCAAGGAACGATCGGCCCTTCAAGACCAGCATCGTGTTCACTTTGGAGGAGGGTCCCGGGATGTTGTTCAAAGCTCTGGCCACCTTCGCTTCGAGGAACATTAATTTGACCAAGATCGAGAGCCGACCACAAAGGAGGAAAGCCATGCGTGTCGTGGATGAGAAGAGTGGCAGCAGTGTGGCGAAGTACTTCGACTATCTGTTCTACGTGGATTTCGAAGCTTCAATGGCCGATCCCCGGGCCCAAAATGCTCTGGGTAACTTGCAGGAGTTCGCCACCTTCCTCAGAGTGCTCGGCAGCTACCCAATGGATGTCAAGCCAATGTAAATGAAAAGATGTAGGATGCAGGTATAGAAAAATTCTTTGCGAAGGTCGATGGATTGTAAATCATCAATTTACTTCGTGCGGGTGAGGAATTCCTCGAAGACCCGCATATGGGACTGGATCCTCTGCCCCCGCGCCTCATTTGTATATCTCTATCTGGAGTCCAACCCCTTTGATCAGTTTCTGCCACTCGATCTAGCAATCGAAATCGAGGGGGTTGAGATTCGTGTGACTAGTTTACAATAGTGATCTACTACTAGTTGGGCCTTGGCCACTCCCACATTTTTGAAACCCAAATTTCGCATTATTCACCCATCAGTATATAGCTCAGCCCGTGCACTTTCTTTCGGCACCTCAATCAGCGCTAGGGATATCTGCAATGTCGAAAGACCTCGAAGTGCCGGAATTGTCGATTACGGTTGTTTTGCGCCAAACACACTGGTCCATGTACATCATAGATCCTCGCATCAACCATGACTGATGGGTTGATGAAGTGAACTATGCCCTTCACTTCTTATATTCGATTAAAGTTATATCGTTCGAATTATATTCTTTTTGGTACTCTTCTGCATTTGGAATGGAACGCATACATCTAAATTCTTCCTCTTTTCTCAAGCAGTCAATCTACCTGGTGCGAAGCTCGTTGTGTGCATACAAGCTGAGTATGAACATTGGGGCACGAACTATGCGTAGTCGGTTTTGACATGAATTCTACAAGAAAAGCTCATTCTCGATCGATAGCTGACCAATACTGTCGAAGTCAAGACAGCGACGATGAATGGCCAATAATCAATTGCTACTAGAAATGATGATTCCTCAGGTTGCTGTTCATCGTCGGAGAAAGAAAAAGTGCACTTTGTCAGTTTCTTCAAACAGAGAGTAGCTTGAATAGTGTAAAAAGTGTACTCTATGGACGTATTTATTTTGACTACTTTCTTCTATGTACAAGTTTCACCAGACTAGTCTTTCAAGTTTATACCTGAAAAGTGGACTGACTTTTGCAGTCCAAGCTCATTAAATTGGATACTAAAAACTCACGTGATCAACTGTTGATGCACGAGATTAGTCTTCATTCTTTCTCTTCATACTTCGGTCCGCTTTTCACTCGGACTAGTGGCGCTCTCCTAATTTCTAACAGAAGTCTGGTCTTAAAATTCGGATCCTGTCGTGTAAGTGGACTGGCCCGTAAACAAGTATGCGGACTTCTTTCTTTGGTGTTGACTGAATGTGATGGTGATTGCGTATACTTCGATGGAGAACTTTATTTGGAAGACGAAAAAACATATGTGACAAGCTCTCACGGAAGTAGAGAGGATGATATTTGGACAAATTTTCTTGGCCAGAAGATGAAACTTATCGGGAGCACCTACTCCCAAGTTGACTTTCGGAAAAACATGTGAGCAAAATTAGGGCGTCAAGTGTTGTACATGAAAAAGCAAACGAGAAATTATGTGAGCTGACAAAAGTCAGTAAAAATTGCCCGTCTGGGATGAATTTGTGGATCGGAATTTGTGGATCGGAAGAAGAATGGCCCTTGGTCATCTGTGTGACGTTGACTCCAGCCAGAGATCAAACGACAGTTGCGAGGCAAGCAATGAATGCCACTTCTGTAATTAGCCGCTTAGGTTCAACGAACGTTCTGCCAACGAAACGACACGAATCGTGTGTGAAGCTGGTCCGATCAACATGTTGGAACCTTCCTGATCATAACGCAGCTCTCATACGGTCTCGACAGTCTGACAGTACGATAAAGTTAGTTGCCAGTATCTGAAGTTCTCCAGACTGTAATTTGCGCATAGGCAAAACATCATACCCATCATGAACGGACAGGCTCCCTGCAGTGGATTCAAGTCACATGCCCTGGAATTCACACCACGGTTCTCACTTTCGATTGACAGTTGAACCTTTTGCGTTCACGTCCATGTATTTGAGACGTAGAGCCGGAATGTGTCGGAAGACATGAATTGGCAGCCTCTTTTGAGAACGTGGTTTGGGAAGGCCCGGTGCCGTTCATTGCTTCCGAAACGTTCCAGTCTCACAAATGTCAATCGATTGTGCATCAATGTTCTGCAAGTTCCGGAACAATGGCCCGGAATGTGAACACGAGTCTCCTCTTCAAAACCACACATCTTGAATGATTAACAACACATCCATCATTAAAGGATTGGAGGCCGTTCTATGCAGAATACCTGCTTTCGTCGTACAATGTCACTATTTATGAAGCCGCAATCTTCCATATATATATAATATGGAGGATAATTTGATATATTTGTGCTCAGGCATGAACCAAAAGAGCGGTTTGCGCCATTCTCACTTGTTTCATGCCAGGACGCTGTTCGCATAATAGGCTACAACTTCAAGGTTCAGGGTTGTACTTCAACTTGAAGTTACGATAAGTTCGATTGCAGTTTTGATATTGAAAGAGATCTTGAATGATGCAGCATTTATTGATGCAAGAATCTGAATTTTTGAAGTTCAAAGTGAGATAACTCGATCTCAATCTCTCCACCATCACTGGATCATCACTATTGATGTATTAACATTAACATGATCCTAAGTGGATGGGTAGTGTTATCAGTTCACTACCAACTCCACTCTATTGTTAATTGCAATAGAGCTGATTTTTCGTGGACGAAGTGAAGTTAGAAGATCAAGCTTTCAATTGAAGGAGTTTGAATAAAGATATTTAGTTGCAAGTTTTTAATTCTAGACTTTGAGAATGTGATTATGGTGAATATGAGTATACACTTTGAGCTGTTTTGATAAAACTTGACTTTTCTCCACTATCATCTCTTTCATGCTCTACTTCTTTGACTAAATTTGTTCGTGTATATGAAAATAAAAAACATCAATCGAAATCCAATCAAATGTTGTAGTTTTAATAACTCTGATTTACTGAATGTGAAGATATTTTGACTAGTTTTTTAAAAAATTTGATTGATATGATGAAAATGATATCATGATATAAAAATATATCATGATGAAAATGCATAAAACACTTGTTTCAAAATTTCACTTTTGAATTTTGAGTTTTATTTTTTCAAATTGAATGCTTAATTTGTGATATGAAATTTGCATAAATATTTTAAAGGATCATTAACAAAATTTATCAAATATATTAATCTTCTTGCTGGTATTGAAAATTAAATTCAAGTTTTTATAACAATTAATTTATATTGAAACTAAAAAATAGTAACATTGCTATCATATAGTATTTTATTTATAATTTAGAAAACTTCTGAAAGATATGAACTTAGATAAATCAGAAAAATAGTTAATATTATCACATATTTAATATATCAAAAGCGATTTTTTAAAAATAATATAATTCTACTTAAATAAAATAAATATTTGAAAATAAAAAAGAATCAAAGCTCAAAATTTGTATGAAATTGATACTTAAAATTTATAAATATCAATTTTAAATTATTCACATGTTAAAAAACCCCTTAAATCATGATTTTATTGTTAAAAACTAGACTTCAAATAAGATGTAAACAAACATTTCAGTTTACATAATATTTATGATGTATGTTTTTAATTTTTAAAATATGATTTGAAATTCATTAGTAATGTGTATTCATTTTGGCTCTATATTTGTGCAGCACATTTATTGATGTTAATGTTAAGTTTCATTTACTCTTAGTATTTGTATGTGCTAGAAATAATCGAGTTGAATATTCAGATGAATCTGATTGATTTTTAAATTTTTTTTATTGAAATATGAATTGCAAATATATATATAAATAAATAAATTCATTCATTCAGTTTATATTATGCTAACTTCTTTTCATGCTATTAGGTTTTCAGACACCATAATAACATGTGTGCAAATGCAATAGCTTAAATTTTTGGTAAGTAATAACTACTGTATAAGTATTAGCAACGGTTGCGTTTGTAAAAAAATCTGATTAAGTACATAGATTTTAAATATTTTATAGTATTTTGATCTCAATGCATTGAATTTTTAAAAAAATTTTATTGACAATTGAATACCAATAAAAAAATTTTAGTAAATAAAAAATTTTAAAAATCTAATAAAAAATTTAAATCTAAATAAAATCAAATAAAACATATGTGCTGAAAACGTTTACATTTTAATCAATTATGATTTCTTATCTTGATAAAATCTTAATCTTCAAAATGATCTGAATTTTAAAATAAATTGGAATAAAAATTCATATCAAAACTAAGTATATATATTAAAATATATTTCCACTTTAAACTAGATATTAAAATACATGAAAATAAATATTCAGATTAAATTAAAATATAAAATTTCCACATCATTTAAATCTATATATGTGAAATGTTCAATTATCCAATCTTATTGTGTCGCGATTTTATCATTTTTTTGATGAGATTCGGTTGTGAATGTTTCAACTCCACTCACGAGTATTTTCAATGATGACGTGAAACGTACACTTTTCTCAGATGAAATTTTTTTTTGGAAAAATTGTTGAAGTTTCAGTTAAGGAGTAACCTCGGATCGTCCTAGCTATTTATAGCTAGGAAGCCCACCTGGATTGGGGTTAAATAGTTGGCTTTTGCACTGTACATTAAATCTTTATGAAAATTCTTGGAATAAAAGTATCGGAGTGTTCTATGTGGATGTAGTCTATTCGAGTGATGAATCAAGTTACATTTTGTATTGAGTGTATATTTTCAATTGCGTGTTTTGCATTTATAAAATTTTATAAGTAATTTTCAGTACATTGAAAAAGATTAATATGGAAAAACTTGGAGTAAAAAATATAAAATTTTCAAAAAATAATGTAGAATATTTTATTTGGAAATAAATTCTAAAAACCTAAAATTTTCTGACTTTCAGGAAAAGTACATGTTTAGAAATGTCTGAGAAAGAATAGTAGACAAGAGTCACATGTCAAATTCAGAAGATCAGCGTTTTGTTAAAAATGCATGCTTTGCATCAGGTTACATTGCGAAATAGGCGATGAACCAGAGACCATGTAATTTGTGCCTTGGACTTTCCTGTTATGAGAACTATACCTCAACTTCAAAGTAAGCATGCCAAGCAACTTACACTGTTTTGGTAGCTCAGTAATCTGGGATCGGCCACATAATGTTTTAGAACATTGGCTGGTTAAGTAAAAGTATACAGGAGATGGTTCAGTTCAAGAGTGTATTCCAGTTACTTTTAAGTTGGTGACCTGTTGTAGGACGTGAATTCTCAGTATCGGTCACTCACTACATGGTCTGCAACATAAGCGTATAATTGAATTCAGGTGTCAAATAGGAATACGGCCTGCAGCCCTCTGTGATCGTCACTTAGACTGTCATTCTACCTCCACATGCCTGCGATTGGCTGCCAGATATCTCTTCAGTCGGTGGTGGAGGTGCTGATGGCGCTAGCTCCTCAGGAGCCACAGAAGTGGGGACCGATATCACAACAGTTGTTCCCGAGTGAAGCTCCAAAAAGACTGTCCCTTCGACAGCGCTTGCTCCGCAAGAGGTAGTATTGCAGCCATAATAAATGCTCTGTCTTGGATCCAGAGCTTCGCTGCGAACCAAGGCTTGAACTTGATTCGGTGCGCATACGGGAACAGGAATAGTTATGTATGGCTATGTTTTGAAAATTAAGAAGAGGTAATGAAAATGTTTTATTCGAGGTTAAATTGATATCTATACTGAAAATTTCTGTAAAATCGTACAAAGATATCAGTGTTACTATTATTTTGTTCGTTTTGAATGATTTCAATGAAAGTTATTTATTCAAATATTTTAAAAATCAACATATACTGTATATGTTAATATTTATATGTATTGTATATCATATGCATGCATATGATATATCTTCATCTGGACGTTCTCCTTTAGATAGAAATTTATATAAGATGTGCATTGTTATTAGATGAATAGCGTTCCACATGTGAAATGATGTGTCTATCTGTTTTGGTTTAGAATTACGGAATGAGAACTTATCTATGACTGGGAAGATATGAATAGTTTACAGGTAGAATGTCATTGGCTTTATAATAATATACTCACTGGTGCACATTTTGTACTGTATTATCACTTAAATGTACTTGAAGGTCTTTATCGGCACAATAAGCACTTGAATTCCGATACTTATTCCAAAATTCATGTTGTCAGCCGTATTGGAGAATTAGTGACATAGACCTGGGTGAACGAAGAATCAAGCTGAGGAGGACCTGAAGAATCAAACGACGAGGAGTCATTCACGTGTCGTCGTGGTACAGCACGAAGAAGTATATACCTGACAACTACGTAATTTCCATCAAATCCAACGATGAAAGTCGTGCATGCAGGTCAATTTACAACGCCAGACACCACTTTGAGTGGATTCCTCGAAATTCACAACTGTTCCGTATTCGTCAAGTCACGAAAAACCGGTCAAGAATGTTTGTTAAAGGCGTATGTGCGATAGCTTGCGAGATTCCAAAGCAAAAAACGAGTCACTTTTACATAATCATCCACGTGCAATGAGTCAACGTAACAGTTCCAAGCAAACTTACCTGTCGAACATACGAAGTCTACAGGTTTTCTAGACTCTAGATGGTGAACTACATATCTGAGATATGTAGTTCACCTTCTAGAGTCTAGAGAGATCTGATATCTCTGTGCTTCTTCATACAGCTGGACCATAAAACTGACGCTGTAGACCGTGATTCTTGAGGCAGTTAGATGTAATCCAGTACCGTAAGAGTGGTTTGTGTAGAAATAGCAGGAGAATGATGGCAACGGCCAGTAAAGACCTGAAAATCCAAGGTTTAAGACAGTCAAAGTGAGTGTCAAGGAACTCTGTACATCCGATCCGAATATGGATCGTGAGCAAGCTTTCATTCTTTCACGAAGATCTCTTTGCTCGTGGTCATTCATTCGATTGATCCTGTCAGCCACCGGCCCGTCGGTCTGGAAGGGGCCACAAATGACAGATTTGTTTCCTGATCTTAGGCAGCGTACATTTTCGTTCGAGTTGACCAATTCGATCAAGGTTGCCAAGTAAGTCATGAACTGCACGTCAAGTGCCACGAGGTTTTATGACAACCTCTCTATGTTTTGATCGATCATCAAATGTCAAAGGACAAGGACTGGCTTGCGTAATGCTTATGAGCATCCCATTCTGCAGCCTGGCTTTGAATCTACCTCCAGACTAATAGATCCTGCCTTTCTGAGTTCTGACGCTGTTTGAAGTTCAGTTTCAGTTGTCCGATGTAAGCAGCGCCTGAAGACCGCTCGTTGAAGTGTTCACAAGTGGTGCCTATCTAAACCAACGAATTTATCTTCAGCTGATGGTGGTGGATTTATGACCGTATCTACAGCTTCATATGGAACATCTCGTTAGGGTGATAATACTCTATCCACAGATGAGACTGGTCAGAGACGTATAGTTCAACAAAGTGAACCCCTACACAATCAACTCCAAAGTCGTAGTCATCGTGTGATTTATCATCACCAAGATGAGGAACGGCCTTAGGATCGTATGCGAAATTGTAGCCGCGCCTTAAACCACCGAAAAGGTTCCTCCGGAATTGGCTCTGCATAATTACGGAGAATTGTTCAAAGACATCTGCGTTGGGTTTAAAAGAATAATGGTCTGGCATGACAGTGTCCGATCCTGTGGAGAACATTCACCTTCGACCGCGGGTAGCTCTTCACTTACATCTGGCGTCCCAAACATTAGGACACACGTCTATCATGCTCTTGACTGACGCCGCCCACTTGAGATGCTGGCGTACCTTCTGATATGGCAAGTTCTATTTCAAGGGCCGGTGGATGGTTATCTTCGTCACTCACTACTTCAAGGCTTGGATTCGTTGGGCCCATCTCTGCTTGAGCACCTAAAGGTTCGGTGTACGTGCCTCCATCAGGAAAGGAATGCTCTTCATCAGACACTAAAGCTGGGACAAGAGCAGAGGAATGTTGGCGTGCACTTTCAGAGGCATCGCTAGAAATGTCTCTTCATGTGTTAAGGCTGGCCCATCAATTGACACTGAAGCTGGAAATAGATTGTAATGTGCAGTTTCAGATTTCAGGATAAGACCTCCTTCTCCTGTAAGCGGAGGATTTGCTCGAACTCTGTATTCAGCTGTCTGTACAATGATGGAAGCGGTATGGGCTGCAGTGGAAGGAGGGAGCTGAGGTGCAACGCTGAACGAGGACTTCGGATTTAGGCGCTGCAGTGCCATTCAAGGATCAAGAATCCAGTCGAGCTATGACGGACCTTCTTATAGAGGCTCTAATCGTATCCAACAAATTCAAAATTCGCTGCATGTTTTCTCCAGTTCTGGTTCGCTTCTCAATCTCCAAACATCTGCACAACTCTTAACTGGCCTTAGATGATAACTGGTCTTGAGAGCCGTATTGACCTCCGGATGAAGCCTCTGCAGCTGGACTGAACAAGATGTGGAAAATGTCGGGCTCATTTGACGGATCGTCTGGAGGCTCGAGATATTGTGTTCTTCTAGACGTCAAAGTGCCCCACGCATTTGAGCAACACTGTGTAAGCAATCGAGCAGATATTTCACTAACCTCGAGGTATGTTCTGGATTATATCCTCCATCTCTTCAACATCCCTCTCACAGTCACCCGGAGCTAGGCTCAATACGCTTCCAACAGCCTTCTTGACGAGTTTCCAAAGACCGGCTATGCTTCCGCATCGGTCTCCTCACTCCCGCCTACTAGCATGTATGAATTTCCACACGCTGCGTATCACAACGAAAGAAACTTCGTATTGGAACAATCACATGTCAGTTATAAGTTGGCAAGACACGAAATGTAAATGGGTCAAGTACGGGCAGAAGCGACTTGAGCTCTGCATCCATCAAATCGAGGTCGACTCGGGTCCATATTCTGTCGAGACAGAGAAAAATGATGAAGCAAATTAGAAAATTACCATCCAGTACTAACAACACCCGAGCATGACGAGCAGTATTTTACGACTGTTTTCTAAACCCACGAGCGCGTCAATACTGTTGCAGAGCTGCGATAGATTCTTTTCAACCCGATAGATTCCGGTATGGCCTTGCTCATCAAGTCGGACGAAAGATTTCACCAGGTGCAGCTACGTGCTTGTTTCAGCATTTCCCTTCCTTCTTCAGCACGGTGAGCAGTGTCGCAGTCACAGAAACTTTTCCATTGAGATGTGATCCTCGTGCAACCTTTCTCTCTCCCACACAGTTCGATACACAAGAGTTCAGCATCTTGGAGATACGCAGGCCGAATGGTCCGCATCACATTCGTCTCTTCGTATGCCAAGCTACGAGGTTGCTTTTTCACTACGACGTACTTTCATGTCCACTTTCGGTTCGCGGTCGAATCCAACACAGTTAAAGAAGTCAGAGAAGTCACGGATTCCGAATCCATCATCTTCTATTCGATTGTACTGGAAACGCATGTGTATAGCTAAAAGGACGGGAGCGCCCATCAAGCCCTAAAGAGATGAAAGCAATGGGGTAACTGTTGGCTAGCTCCATTGGCATCGTAATGAGAAATATGTACTAATCATTATAAAATATTCCACCTGTGTGAGCTAAATAGTCCATAAACAAGATGACCAAAACTAATAATTAGGTGTGAAAATAAGCGTCCTCAAGAATGTCATCTTGAACTGACTACGATGCAACTATCGGTAACCCGTCTAGAACCCTAGAGCTCTAGCTCCGACTTACTTTTTATATGGAAGCTCTAATTTGACAAATGGAGGAGTTCCGGGGAGTATGAGGTATTTCAGTTCACTTTCTATCAAGGGGGTTGGTGGGAAAATATTTTCCATTTCTTACATATATCAGTAGGAAGTGTTATCTGTACAGCATTTGAAATTTGTAATCTATAATAATCTGAGCAGATTTCTTACTAAAATAATATCTCTATCTTTTATTAAATTATGGAAAATATGTTGAAATGGGTATACTTTGAACTCATACAACACTTAATCTAGAGAAACAATGAGTTGATTTCATTCAATACCTTTTCTCTTAGATTCATGGGTTTATCCACTCCATTTTTTTTGAATATCTGGGAAGCTAGATAATCATTATCTAAAAAAACTATATCACCGCATCTAGATTAAAATTATGTTATTCTTATACCAGTTATAGATATTTCATTAACACTGATCAAGTACAAAGAATCCTTACTTCACATTACATGTTAGATTTATATTCTCACATTGGCATTGCATATAGCAATGTCTTGCATACTTGATTTAAGTTCACTTGAAGGCTTAAATTATGTGCATGAACCTGGTGCTGAGCCTCAAAAACTTACATGGTGTGTGCTTATGTGAAATACAGGAAGAAAACTAAAGAAAACTATCAAGCCATAAATCTTTAAAACCAAAAGAATACGATGGGATGGGCCCGATCCCCATTCTGCTTTGTAACCAGGAAGATGGACTTTCCAGTACCTTTTCCATACGTTATTCCCTTCCCATTGGCAGCTACTTACGGGTTCCAACTGGAGACACCACTGGTATCCTTCCCCGTGTTACGCATGCTGCATGGAGTAAATTCCCCACAGAAAAACAGAGAAATACATATCATGCCCATGTGCTTCAGTAGATCATGAGGAAAAAAAGTAGAAAGTTTGATGATCACAAGACGCTAACATAAAGCGTAAGCAACCACTGCCATTAGAAAGGACCACCACCGTCATTTTTGTCGCGTACAAATTGAGATGCAGAAGCGGGTGCACCCACATGGTATTCATTTTTCAGTGTTCAGCATTGTCCTTCTACTTATTCGACAGCTTCCACCCGTATCCCATCCTTACTCTGTTGCCAAAGAAATTCTTCAACCACTGAATGAGCAGAAGGAAGAAAAGGAAGAAATCCCGGAACTAACGGGGAAATACATAAATAGCTATAGCAGCTGTAACAAAAGTCACCGAACATTATTAATTTGTATTGAGTGTTGTAAACTTGACTGACGCATTATGCGACAATCCAAGGCGCTTGCAGTTTTCCTTTTCTTTTTAAATTTGGACCCTCTACCTTACAAGACTTCGTAGAATTGCTATTACGAGGTGCAAAAGAAGTTTAATAAAGTGTCTGATTCAACGGCAGCTTTTGATGCACATGGCGAAGAACTTTATTTTAACGAATTTCTTTTGTTTTCTTTTACAACTTTGGGTATTTTCACAACTCAAATTTTTCTGCGTGATTATCGAATATGGATGGAAGATGATTGTATAGTAGCTTATTAGCTTATGATTGTATACTACACACGGATTTTCAGCCAAATTTTTTGTGGACCCTTATGGTGCAGAAAAGATTATTCTTTAATACAGTGTGAGATTCAACGAAAATGATACTATGTCTCTTTTGATATTCCCAAGTCATTTCCAGTGCTGAACTCAGCTTGGAGTAGTAAAAAACGTACCTTCGCATGTTTTGATACTTGTGAAGCATATTCGCTTGCAGAGTTCAATTAAATGCTTACAGCTGATGAATCAAGTTGGATTTCCTCGGTGGAAGAGGAAAAGGAAGCAAGCAAAGAACGAAAGACAAAAGACAGAAGGAGGGAGAGTGGGAGAGAAGTAACGAACGAGACAACCCTTTAGGATAAAGGCTTCAACTTTATCCAACCTTCAAGTCCTCAAGCAAAGTTCATTCCTCAAAGTTGATCGATTCATTTATAAGGATGTACCAGAGCATAGAGTGGAGAGGAAGTAAACAGAGGGATGGGGAGAGAGAGGGAGAGAGAATGAAGAAAACCTTAAAAAAACCATCCGAAAAGAAAGTACGAAAGTGTGCCTGATAGCAAATTATAAGTTTTGACCCAACTACAATTGTTTTGTAAGCGAGATACTTTGTGCTGAGGTGTCTTTCACGAGTTTTTTTATTGAAGCAAAGGTTTTTGTGCATGTTTAAGCATAAATGTGTTTGTTAGATCCACTCTTATGTGTCATTGTGAGGGTTGTGATCTACTCTTCATGACTCAGACATTCAACATACTGAAGGCAAAAGGTAAACAGCAATCATTTACACTATTCAGAACATTCAAAAATATGAAGATTGATCATTTTCAACATTGTGATTTAAATATGTAGCATTTGTGGCCAGTGACAGACCAAGTAAACATATATGCTCTGACTTCCTTGATTCTTAGTGTGAAAATGTGAGCAAAAAGCTTAGTCAATTGAACCAAAAAAAGTAAATGTAAAAAGCTTCTGATGGCCAAGCGTCGGTGATAGCTTTAAGATCTTTCTTTTGACTTGGTTGGATGTTTCAGAAAATTAATTGGAATATCATGTAGTAAGTCATCACATTTACCATGAAGGTGCTCGCAAAATCAAAAGGTGTTATTACGTTTTATTCTACATCTATAGATGTGTAGACTGCACTACACATGATTTCGGCGCTTATAACATGTGAGTGTAGGTCATTGTTCTTGCAGTAACTTATGAGCCCCAGTCTACTTTTGCATGCATTGTATGAGTTAAGAGAATTTGCCCGTAAAAAAAAGCATGCCAAAAAAGCGACCAAACAAAAAGTGGAAGTCATGCGAGTGAAGCTTAGGAAGGTGGTCAGTGTTGCGTGGATTTCTTCCATATCCATCGGTGGTCAGGTTTAGAGAATGGAAGTCCTAAACCTTAGTCAAGTCTGATACATGCCAAGCTTTTTTTGCAATAGAGATTCGTACTACAAATTCTCTTAGTTCTTATCTAAATCATCATTTAATGATGCTGTATAGCCCTTGGGTCTACGCAAGATTCTAATGTAATGCACCAAATATTACGGCCAACAATTCATACTCACAGAATCAAAGTTGATTACAATACTGAAAGAAATGACAAAAGTCCTGATTTACCTTTCTTCTCTCGCATCGTAAGTTTATTCGCTCGTTTATTGAAAACTCTCAAATCCCACACCTCGCTTCACTATTACATTTGAATTTAGCTTCATAGTGGCATGCCAATCAAATGATATTTGCACGATTTAAACGTTGAGTGCTGAAACTTTATTAAATTGGAAGAAAAAAATTTGGAACAACTGAATCTAACCCTAATAGCGTCAAATGAATAATATCTCATTTCTAACCTAAGTCGAAATATATTCCCTAAATTCCGGTCGGTGGCTCCGGTTTTCGTCTGGAAGGGCTCATCATCTCGTCAGGCCGTACCTCTTCGGAACAATGCGCGAGAGATGTGCGGAATGTGGACCCAATGGACAAGGCAAGCCCAGAATTCCTCACTGACGTCCCAGAGGTCTTTATTCCAGCGGCCGAGGCAAGTTGACTGCCACGCACGCACGCGAGGCGCGGAGAGGCGAGGTGGGGAGGCATGAACATCCAGCGTATCATGTATGAATCTGCCGGACCTGCCCGACCTCCCGACCTCCCTCCATCCAGGACCAGGTCGCTCAGGATTGCGTCGGCAGCCCTTCACGTCCGGAGCTGAAAGCTAGGTCTGAACCTACGGACCGAAGCGCTGTGGAGCTGATTTGGCAAAAAACAGAACATCCAGACAACTCGGACGAGTGTTCGATGCTCTCTGTCGCTCGGATGATTTATCCACTACTGTACAGGTTCGGATGATTGGAGCGACCCGACGTGGCACTCGTAAGTCTGACCCGGCGGGTACGGACCACGACAGTTTCATCCGGCTTCGATCCGGGTTCTCGATCTTCCCCAAGCACGAGCTCTGGACACAGGTCCGGATTCTCCCGTCCCTCTACTCCCTCCTGCCTCCCGAGCTCTTCGGCCATGAAGCAGAGCATCGAAGCGAAATGCAGGCTCCGAGCCTCGGTCGGCCAGATCACAGTGGTCACATTCATCAGCTACCCGAACGAGGTGATCGTTCCCACGAGCAAGAAGGAAGGGAAGAGCATCAGTATTGAGTCGTAGCTTCCGAAGAGCGAGCTCGTTTGGATAATGTGCGTCTTGAACAGGTGAGAAGAGCAAGCACGTGTGGTCTAGGTCTGGAGCGTAGAATTTGGCGTGCAATCCAGAGCCGATTCGGTGTCAATCGGCCAACGAAGCAACGAGGTGGCTCGGAATTTCTTTTGATACGATTGCACTTTACGAAGCACCCGAAGAGGAGTCTGCTTAGGTCTGGACCGACCACACGGTGCGTAGGTCTTGTACGTCCATAAATAGGCTCGCCTGTTGGAGCGATTTGGGTCTCAACTGTACAGTACAGCCATGGCAATCGATGACTGCTCCTTGCATCCTCAAAATCGTTTCCGCCATCGTGCTTTTTGTCTCATGCTTTGCTCCCTCTTTTCCTGCTTGCATCCGTCTTCGAAACTTCATTCCCTTATGTGTTATCGGTAGGGTAAACGTGAATAGCAGTGGACGTGAATCCAAAGGAATCGAATGGTGTGGTCACGTTCGGTGCAATAATAATAAAAGACCAATCCCGCCAGTTGAGGTACGTAAGTCAATTTTCGGGCTCACTGCCCTAAACAAATTTCGATGTTTTGTAGTAAATATATGACAGTACCCGATGAATGAATGAATCAAAGCTAGGACATCAAATTGAAGTCACTTTGTGGACACGGAAGACGCATGCCCCAACATGTGCCAGATTTTTAAAATGAAAAAAATTCCATTTGAGTTGGAAATTATATGGCTTAAAAAATTAAATGGCTTTTACAATTAAATGGAAATTATATGGCTTTTACTTTTGTCTACCTGCTCAGGGTATAATTGGATTTCAGCAGGGATGAAGACACAAAGACCTACACCTTTTAAAGGACGAACTGACATGAGAGACACACAGGCAAATTCCAATAACTTTCAAAGTCAATGGTATAAAAGAACCACAAAATCACTAAGAACAATTGTATAATTCATACAACAAAATAGACAACTTCTTTGCCTTCCACATTCTCAAATACCCTCTCGGAGAATTGACGTTTCATCAACTTATATTCGGTAGTATCATTCGACTAACTACATATTCTCATTGAGTGAGACCCAAATGAACAAGCATGAATATGTGCAGCATTCTATAAGAAATTATTAGGCTTTATACGTGTTGTTGGTGTAGCAATTATAACATTTAGAAAAGGGACATTCGAAAAACTTTAGCAAGTAAATAGGGAATCTCAACAACCAACAATGTTTTACACCTGCAACAATGTCATATATGACCAATGAATACGTATCCTAAACGCTAATATATACAGATAATATAGATCTATCTATTCTATCAATGTCAAGGAAGTTTTCCTCTGGACAGGAATTTCTCAAAGCACATTCTCATAGTCAAATCTTTCCACATCTGGCAACGAAGAAAACAACTACAAGCCTTTTCAATTTATATTCTTTCGCGAAAACATAACGTGTGAAACTTTGCTGGTTTGGGTTCGCAAGAAGTCTAGCTAACTTTCTTTTTAGTGCTCAACGCCCACAACCCAATTCTAGATACTTTAAAATCCTCTTCACCTCATTGGATGGATGAAGAGGTTCTTGTCCGCTCTTGCGGTCTTGTGAGGAATTTTCGAGGAAGTCCACTACCATGATGCGGTGCAGGGAACCGAACAACTTATTCTCTTCCAATTACCCGACGATCTTCATCTCAAGTATTTTAGTTTCAAACCGGAAACAACTGTCTAAGTAAAATATCCATGCAGAACTAAGATATCTATAGGAAAACCATGAGATTACCCATCAGTTACACAAGGCTAGTTACAAATACCATCACACCGGATTCTATGAGAATTGAACGGTCTAGGTCAAACTACCTACATAGTGTTCAATAGACTCCATCCAACATAATTGATTTGTTGTAAATTTCACTAGCTATTGCTTCGAGTATAGAGGTGGATAGACTATGTGAACTAAATATGTCTGAACCATGAACTAAAAAGAGCGACACCGTTGAACCTTACGATGACAGTTTATCATTTAGCATAAGGTTCATATATTTTGACCTCTCTGCAAGCATTAATATGTAGACATTGATTTTGTTCCACTCACCCTCCATTCTAGAATAGGGGATATATTTCGCGAGATAGTTAAGATATTACATTATTATTCACAAGATATATGGCCAGATTTTTTTTTACGGTTACATGCTCATTTACAATATTCTATAGACTTTCTTTGAACCAAAACTGATTATAACACATAATAACGATATTTTCAAATGAAGAACAAACCGTGAAATCCCTTGACAAATATCACATTCGTTCCTATAAACTGTAATGTTCATCCCGAACACCAAAGTAGTGACACGGAGCAATCGAAATTGATAGTACACTCATGTGAATAGTAGAGATTAACAGGAGCATAAAATGCAAAAGGAACCTATTCATCATCATGATATAAACTAACATATTGGTTAAAAATAGTGTAACCTGATTACATATCCAGACATTTTTAACCTGCCGTTACATGCTAGAACAATGTCGAGAATTTACCGAATCCTTGCCTCCAACCCGTTTCTGGCTCCCTCCTCGATATCGGACGGTGCATAATCGCCAGACAGCATCAGTAAAACGGACGTTAAGGGCAAGTGATGCATGAAGCGGAAGTTAAAGAACAAAGTCGTTGCATATTAGTATCTGGGAATCTGGGATATAACTGAACTCAACGTCATCGCATGGTACGTACCGTCCGACGGCCTGTTCCCACTTGATTCTCGGATATTCTCGGGCAGTGACAAGTGAAGAGAGTGGATTGGACCGGCATCCGAGGCTGCGTTTATCAGGATCTTTGGCACGGGAGCAGGCTCGGGGGAGATCACCGAATGACCGTGATTGACCAAATCTCGGCCCGTACGAGTCACAGGCGTCAGTTTGCGCCAAATGCTTCGGCTTTGGCTTTTTGGCATGTCCTTATGTTTTGACATTGTGTGATCTACCGGAGGACCGGCCCTGCGGCTCCTGGGACCGGGGAGCACCGGCGACCGGCGGGCGGCGATCGGAGGGCAGAGCCACGCCGTGGAAGCAGTCGTGGCAGGAGACGTGAAATCGACGCTCGGTAGCTTCTGATTATGGAGGAGCGGTGTGTACCCAAGGACTCCTTCGATTGCGAATGCAGAGGCAGACCCCGCCGCTGGGCGGGCATGGGAGCCTGGAATCTTGGATTCGATGCCCGAAATTAGGAGGAAAGAGGCAGGAAAAAGGAGGCAGCAGCGCAGCCGCGGTGCTTCCTTGGTATGGGAGAGCGGTGGGGATGGGGGATGGGGGACATTGGCCTTGTCGCTTTCCCTCGTTTGAACGTTCGGCGAGCCTCATTATTGAGATTTGCACAATCGCAGGTGAAGAGCGAGAGCACCGTGGAGCTTTGGATGCGGTGCCGGACGCGGAGAACGAAGCAAGAGGGCGAGCAGCTTAGGTGGTGCTGGTGGGACCTATGGGCGGAAGCGAGCAGGCTAACCAACCAACATCTTCTGCGTGAATGTTGCGAGGACTTATTTGCGAGCGAGAGAGCTGTGTGACTTTCATTTTCACGGAGAGAGATTGCGAGAGAGAGCGAGAGTGAGAGAGACAGAGAGAGAGAGAGAGCTGAGAGCGAGGCTATGTACGCGTGTTTCTTGTGTTGCGCGTGTACGTGAGTTTTCTTCCATCTTTCCGCATTCCTTTCGTCAGACCGACCAGTATTTGCCGTCCTTGCCCGCACGCCCTCACTGTCTTGCGAGATATTGGTCGTTTTATCTTCTCTTCACGACATTGGACTTGTTTCACTGTTGTTGTTGAAGTCGAGTGAGCGAGAGACGGCGCGCGTGCACTCCGCCCCACCTTGGTACGATACTTTACACTTCTGTTCATGTCAATCGTATGCTCTTGCTCTATTGTTGTTCGTACCACGACGACCGGCCAGATTATATCTCTTTGAGATGTCAGAGTAGAACGTAGCCGGTTTATTTCGATTTACAATTGTTTATTTTGCTTGTCAATCGGTTATTCTGAATGTCAATTGGCCTCAATAGTCGTTTTTGTGTCTCTCTTTGAGTATGGCTCTACCTCACGGTCTTGCGAGCGAGAGATAGAGACTGAGCGAGTGAATACCCGTCCGTTTCTCTGCCATTCCTTTCAAGACGTCTCTGCATGGTTGATGTTGAATGGGACGTGTGCATGTCTGCTAATCTGGCTCAAAGAACGAAGTGCCGCCATTCTGCTTTCTTGAATCTCCCGTATCGATTGAGTTATCCCCAAGCAGCGTCTGGATATGGGTAGTGAAGGTTGTTTGTGAGATCTTGTTTTTTAACAACGAAAGATCTAGCCTAGCAGTATGTCCTTACCGCCCATATTTCCGAACGTGTTATTTATCTAGCCTCTGCGAAGGTCTAAGAAGCCCATGACGAACTCGGCCGAGCGGTGAAGTTTTGTCGTCGAAATTAGACGTTGTCAACGCGCTTCCTCGTTTGGCTCGGACACATTTCAGTCGTAGCTAGGCTCTGCGGTTGTTGTTTCCCCTGTTCTGGTTCAGCACTTCTCCTATCAGTCGGGAGAACATTCGCTCTGAAGTAGTGTCATTGAGGTCTAGTGCATGCGGTGGTGGATTTTGGTGGCGTCGGGCATCGCTTAACGTTCAGCTGCTGCTTGGGGAGAAGTCCCTTAGAACTTTGCCTGCGGTACGTGTAAGTTTTGTTTTCTGCCCACTCTTACGTAGAGTGTGTACTTTTTGCAGAAGGTAACGAGACGCGGAGTTAGTTGAGGTACGATGGACGTCGACTACAGATCTCCTCTTCTGGAGAATAACGTTGTTTACCTGGGCACCTATCTTGGCAAAGGGGAACCTACCGGCCATAGATGTGACAGAAAATGTCACGTTGAGCATGTATGGGCCAACCTGTATCGGTGTAAGTCGTCTAACGTGACACATGTGTGTGATAAGAACTGTAATCAAAGGATCCTCTATGATAATCACACAAGCGTCTGCAGAGTAAGTCGCCAATTTTTCCCTCTGACAACGGCAGAACAGGAAGCCGTCAGGGGAGTGAGGAGGAAGCGCGAAACTGATAGCTGTGAGAGCTGTTCATACAAGCGACGACAAGAACTCTTCAGGCCAAGTCCGTCAGCTTTTGAGTCGTCTTTCAAGAGGGTGGTTCCTGCCACCGGTCGTTTTAGCTCTGTGGAAAGTTTCATGGATACGAATTGATAAGGCCATGCGTCTTATTACATAGGTCGTAGAAGATTTTGTATCATAGTCTAGATCTGAACGATGACCGATGTGGCCATCTTAAGTTCACGCCTTTATGAGAGCTGCAGTCAAACTCATGAGTACATATGGAGATTCGTAAGCGGGTATTTACAGAGCTTGGTAGAGACTCTGCCAAAAGGGAGTTACGGTCGTCGCTTCGTAAACAATCGAGAGCTGCTAGCAGATCAGGTCCTTAACATCGTTAATCGCTAAGTCTTTCGCGTAGGAGTTAGGGAAGACTTCATATAGACCATAAGTAATTACACTTGAAGTCCAATTTCATAACATTCTTCATTGCGTCTCATTGCCATTGTGTTTCTGGAGCATGGAGTTGATGGTAGAAAGAAATCTGCCATTCACCAAAGTATGTAACATAAAATGTTCTGAAGCCCTTATGTTGGAGTGTCATTGTTGCTCATCCAGGTTTCTCGAGACATTCACTTGCTAGTCCGGCATGTTGATGCCAGTTTACACACGGCATCACTGTTTTCCACATTTCTTGTCAATTTTGACTGAAACCCTATCACTGTGCTTAAATAACCTGATCAAGTTCACCACATGGATGGAACTCTGTATCTCGTCTTGTTCATGGGAGGGGACATTGAACTTTGGGCTGGCTTAGTGAGACTGTTTGCGTAGGTTCTCTCTTTCTTGCCGAAGCATGAAAGAGGAAGCCTTCTCGCAAAACTAGCTCTTTTTATGTTTGCAAACAGTTTTCATCTGGTTTCAGATTGACTATGCAACAGGGACTCCGGAATAATTCTTTATCGTAGATTTCTCAGGGCTCCTCCGAACCTGCAGTTTGGGCAGCGTTTCGGTTTAGGATAATTTCTGGACTGGGGATGCCCTGTTCGTAGCTCGATAGATTTAATCTGGCTTTTAGGACGTAGGCGTTCTTCTTATTTAGCTGGTAGATCGATCCGCTTTAGCTTCTCTAGTGCCTGAGAATTATAACATGCAAACATGTTCCGAGTTGTCTGAACCGGGAATGCCCTGTTCATTGGTCGATGAATGTGAGGTAGCGTAGTTGCCAATGGCTGCTCTCAATTTCTGTATACTTTTTGAGTTTTAGTTGCTTTAGCATATGGTTTAAAAATAATCTTGGACTTCTTTTGAGCTGTACAGGATATAGAAGCGAACCAGGGAGGAGTTGGTGTTTGCTTTGAATTTCGTATCTGATAAAGTACCTATCTCTACTGTCTGTGAGAGATTTCTTCGCTAACTCCTGAACGTGAGCTTTATATATGGTTTCGAGGTGACTCAGCCAAGCAGTTCGTGTCCTTTTTACTCAGTAGGATGTCAATTGTTTTTAAGCTCTATCGTCCTCCTTGCGATGTACGTCAAGAAGCATTGTTCGTTCTCTATCATACTTCTAATTATCCTCCTTGTAAGAATGTGGTGAGTGCAGGTTTTGAGGACCTAAGGCTGAAGACGGAAGCCTTCAGTTCTCGCCCAGAGGCGAAGTGTCACGGAAATCATCCGCGCAGTGCGAGTTGCCACTCTTCTAACCTTGTCGGTCACTTCGTGGCTAGTTTCTTTCAGACAGACACCAAAGACTTCGGACCGATTGCTCACGGGCAGTTTGAACTGCTAGCTGTTAGGCCGAAAGTTCTAGTACGAGGCAGGTAATCCTTGTGATATAGTTAATCTCCCGAAAGTCGATGATGTGGTTTCTAAAGTCTGTTTCAATTTCTTGCATCTCTTTTTTTGCTGTGGTCCTGTATTGCTCTCTATCAGGAGTTTTTTCCGAAGTACCAAGGCTGCAGCTAACCGAGGACTTACGTCGGTGAGAAACTAACGGAGCCGGCTTCAATATAAAAAAGGTTTCAAAGTTTGAATGAACATTTTGCGTGGACATCGGGCTGGTCTTGTGTGTGGATGACCACTTCGTTTGATGTTGTTGGAGGCGTGGAAGACGAATGTTTTGAGCAACGACAACTTAACGTTGGTATTGTAGTTCAGAATACACGATCTTTTGGAAGGACGATCGTGTATTCTTGCAATATGATCGTGTTTTGATCATATTGCAGCACCATTATCAATTAGGTTAGCAATACCGCGATTGGAGCAAGATATTAGCAAGATGAATTAGAATTAGACTAAGTTCGTAGTCAGTTTAAGTCCTCTATCGCAGTTTAGCAGCTATGGATATATTCTGTAGGTTACATAGGTTGCAGCAGTGATTAATGATTCATTGGGTTATGGTTTTTATAGCTGGACATCCAGTAGATTGTACATTCTATCCAGTTTTATAGCGAGAGTCTGTTAAGCGGAGATCACAAATTTGTGTCTCTCAACTCATAATGTAATGCTCAGGGATTAAATGTCGATCTTTAGCGTTTCATTGATTCATTTGGTATGGATTGACTATGAAACTATTGTGATCTTTTGCTCTTCAGTTCCTAATTAGCTAGAAGTTGGTCTAAGCAAAAATATCTGTCGTTTGGATTTCTGGCCTGCTTCCTGCTTGCCTCCATGGGCGCCTGTTAGATCTTTACAGTGTTACAGCTGCGTGTACACCGACTTGCGTAACAAACTCATGTAACTCCGCTAAACGAGTAGTAATATTCATGCACACCGAGTTCACAGAGTATCCGTGAGTAAGTTACGATTGTGATCCTTAGATATTTACCAATGTAAACTGTACCAGTATTTTCTTGTATTGGGTCGGACTTACATAGGTGAGTTAATGGACTAGAGGGTAATGAAGTTCATTTTGTCAAAACAGTCGTGAAAACGACTACTGTATGTGACCGTCACTGAAGTGAACTATGGCTTGTGATTGGATTTACTATTATGTTTGTTATTTAGGACTTACTGGTATTAGCTGAACCAAGGACACATAGAGGTAAATGATCATTAGCCTACTCTGATGGTATTTGGGGAAAAGAGCCTGATCGCTACTTTCCACCCGATGAAATTTCGTTGTCGTCGTGTTTAGTGTCCATCCACGAGCGAGTGATGAGTAACTTGCGCACATCGTCTGTAGATATTACCGTTCCGCTCGACAATCTCGGTGAACTGACTAAATAGTTCCTTGCAGGTATGACGTGGACATAGAGTAATGCCTTCTAGGTACAAACTGACAACAAGGAACATTTCTGCCCGGACGGACCAACTGACACAAATACTATTGGTCTTAGATTTTGGTGGCATGATGTATGTTCGCTTTTGTGCATACCTCCTCGCCACAGCACTACATTCCACGTTCCTGAGATTGACTAAAGCACAAAAATAGGTAACTGGTGGACACTAAATTAAGGACTACGGGCAAACATCGTTCTGTAACTTTTGCACTTACAGACTACCGACCCGCGTGACTGCCAAGCTTTCATGGTTTTTGGTGCAAATCGAACATTATTGCATGTGCAGCCATTTCCTCTAAATAAATTTCCTCTAAACCGGTAGCTTTGAATGGTTCTTACTCACAGATATTTCCATCTTTTGGCTGAACGCCTTGCTGGACCCATACCCCAGAGCTCGGATTCTGGACTGGTTAGAAGTAAAAGCTGGATGGTCGCTTGTCCATCATCCACTCGAAAGGCTCGCGGCTTGTACCAAAACCAATTATCACCAAGCATTTCTCATTATATATCCTTTGGGAAAGTGTATCCCTTACTCTGCCTAGAATGATGTACTGCAATCGATTAGGCATAATCATTTGGATGCTCTAGATAGTTGATAAATTATATCGTATATATTAGAAGCATCAGTACACATATTTCCCTTTGTCATGACACCGGAACTACCCCCACTTTATTCCGGTTGATCTCATCCATGTTTTCCTTCATAAATTCTCCCCATATTTTTGCTATATTACTGGGTTTTCTTCTTTCATACTCGCAATTTTACACACTGACAATGCTTCGGGCATGGCAGATTGTCTAATCGCGGGCGCATCCACTATTATAAGATGGATCTTAGTGGGGGCAATCCATCCCTGTCGACACGACTGCAAGTTATCTCCAAGAAGCTTGGATAACTCGGTAATGGTAAAGTGGATATAACGAGCCTAACAACAGTAAGTTGGAATGTCGGATAAATAGGAGGATCTGTGCCACTGGATAGGCTGGCCCACCCTGCCAACAGATTCTTCTCCTGCCGTCGCATCGCCGTCACTCGACCGTCGTTGGTCCTTATTACAAGGGGACTCACACTATAGCCGTCTTCTCCCGGAGGGTCGGGAGCCCTTCGACAAGTACAGTCCTGCGTCTCACAGCTCACAGGGTTTTACTTCCTCGCCCCAGAAACAGTCAGATCGCCCCCTCGTGACCCACCACGTAAAACTCCCACCCTCATGCTCTGCTGGGCCATATCTCTGAAGAGGCGCCTCTTCATGTTCTTGGGCTAGAGTAACTTTTCGTTTTAATTCTTGTGAATTGGAGAACTAGGTTCTGCCCCATGTTTTATTCTGAAGGTTAGCAGAGAACAACACTTCTCCCGTCAAAAATATCAATATTGCCATTCCATATTCCACCTCGGCTACTTTCGAAGGACCACGATCTGTTTGAACCTCAATTCTAACCCATATACAAGTTAACTCATACACAGGTCAGATTTAGTCAATTTGACTGTAGTTAGTTATATAAGTAATAAAAGTTAAATGATAGAGTTTACAGAAGATGATACAGATAATAATTTTAAGTGGAGTAATTTATCTGATCCGTGGATTAACCTTGGTTGAGTGAACGACATATTTCTATTATGATTCTATTGAAATGTTCGTCACTATAAATATTTTTTAATAATCATGAAATGAAGAGAATATAACAATTTTTATAGATCCATATGTACAAGCTGCGTATCAAGTGAAGAGAACAAATATGCGACAGTATCCAATGTATACCTTTTAAAGAAAAGTTGGAATGACACTTTAGGATTAAATATTCCTATGCAGATACAAACAAAACTGAAGAGAACGATGAGGATTTGCGAGTCAGTTTCAATAGTTTGTCTATTCATAGCGAATTTCAGCTATAATGGAAAGAGCTCCGAGACACAACCCATATCTTATCACATCTTGCCAAAACCCCCAAGTTTGAACGTGGACGTCCTAGTTGGTAGGGAACCTTGCTGTCTGTCCATTTTACCGCAGTAATGGGTGTATACACGATAATGTTCTTATGCATCCAATATGGCCAAGAGGTACTATCTTGGAGCGCATTCCATGCTAAAAGTCATCATAATGAACACCTCTTAATATGAATTTTCCTATGAATTGTGCCAACCAATGCTGTATAGAAACAAGTGGACACACCTTTCTTAGAAACATGTCGGTGTCGGGTGTCATTGATGTCTTTCAATTAAAAGATTACCGCATACTTAAGGACCTTGGTTGATGCCATATCAACTGTCATCGAGAGGAATAATCAACCCTTTCAGAATTGTGTCAAAATTAGGTGATGTTTATCCAAATTACTTCATATTGTTTGAATGCAGGAGGGATACTTATCTCCATTCTATAAATTTGCAATTGTGAGTCCATTCTGGTATCTCCAACCCAAAATGTTAACATCTTCTTAAATGAATATTTCTTGAAGATATATGTATTAACATATACTACTTCAATTATAAAATTTTACTTTGAGATCAAATATAAGTGTAGGAATAAATTGAATATCAACATCAAGGTGAAAATCAACGATAATGTGTTATTGTAATAAGTGTATATACTTACTGTTACATTAAAAAAATTTTGTGGACTCTTGAAATATAGTGTAGAGGAATAAGTTTAAAGTCCTGATAAAATTGATGTATAGTAATAAAGCTCTTCTTTCAGAATGTAATTCAAATTTTATCCTTGAATTCATATAGTTCAGTATATTTGAGTTGATTTTATTTCTTCTAGATAAACAATGTAAGGGTTTTTTTAAGTTCACTCAAACATGGTAATTGTAACTGTAATGGTTGTATGTTTTGAAATTTCAATAAAGGAAAAATAAATCGTATGAATAGATTGATGTGATTATGAAAGTCTAAAATTATATTTTGTGTTAGAAATGTGAATTCGTTCAAAATTTCAAGTCAATTAATTCACAATATGAAAATAAGTTGTAATATTTTTTGGTTTTATGACTGAATATTTTAAATGCACTATTATAAAAATTTATTTTTTCATTTGATTAATATATTAGATTCATATGATAGAAAAATTTGAAAATAATAATAATCTCCAAAAACCATAGATATCTAACAAAACTGAAAAATATATTAGTTGGAATTAAAATAAAATTTGAATTTTGATAAAAGGAAAAAAAAAATGAAATTTATAGTTGACAAATGCAACTTTGTAAAATGTTAAATCAATTGATTCTTCCACAATATAAATATTCTAATATGTACAGTTATAAAAACTATATACCTTGATGTTCTTATCAAGAATATCTATACAAAGTATCAAATCTACAAAGATCAATGCAGAATGTTGAAATTCAATATTCTGCATATAAGTTTATAATAACATAATAATTTTGAATCAAAATCAACATCTTCTCTTACTTGAAATGAATTCTTATATGACATTCAAAATGAATTATATTATTTTTGCACGTAGTGGGCAAGCCTCCTCCAACCTAGTTCGACGGAAATATAACAAACTCACGGGAAGATAACGACTTTTCGTATGAGAATTGGAGCATCTAAAGATAGTGTACTGTTTCGGGTTACGTAGATAAGTCCAAGCTTGGAGAGGACAAACAGCTCCAGAAGATCCACACTTTCTGGACAGATGGACAAACAAGAATCGTCACATCTCAAGACCTGCCACGTCGTGTTGAAATGATGAAACCGGTCTGTGCTGTGTAGTGTCAAGATTGATCCTGTAAATGAATCCTGCAACTCGTTGGACTTCACTAACCAGCGTCCCCAGTCGTAACGTCAACAGTCGGCATACTGTACAGCTCGTTTCATTCTCGTTGTGTTGTGGGCATCAAATCAGGCTGGACAGTGTTATTCGCAGCATGTTTGAGGCTCATATGCTCGTATGAGCAAACAGGAGAGACTCAGGTGAATGATGCAACCTATGAAGTAATGCAAGCAACCGTGAGGTTCTGCTACACGGCAGAAATTTTCGAAACTTGTGCAAGCCGAAAACGTGCTGAAAGTTGCTCGTAAGTAAACAAGGGTCCTGTGAGAACAGTGTGGTGCAGAGCTTTGTGGGAAAACCAACGCTGTAACTTTGCCAGATTTTCTAAAACTTGCCGGAAAGTTTCACACCAAGAAACTGCAAGCCGAGGCTTTCTTCAAGGTACTTCAAAGTACTTAAAGGAGCATTTTGACCCCGTTCAAAAGTTTGGAATCTTTCTCCCCTCCTTTGTATACTTACAGAACGTTCGTGGATCATAAAATCTGACGTTCACGTGTTGTCTTAGAACGAAAGCATCCGCCAATCTTTGGATTGGGAAGTATTGCAATGACCTAGTTTTGACCTACAAATGATCCTGGTGCACTTGCTGCGCCCAGTTCCAAGTCAAGTCAGGGTGAGTGGCTGTGACTCTCAGTGGATTTACAAATTCAGCACTTTTCAACTCTTGATTTGAAGGTTGTATTCATTGCCAGAGTCTTCGTGATTTAGATATGATCTCTGAACAGAACTCATATGCTCGGGCTTGAATTGGAATTACTGTTTCCAATTTATCCTTGAGTGAAGATTTTCCTGCAGGTAATTGGCTCTCAGGCAAACCGTAGTCTTGAGAACCGATACAGGAGTGTCACGGGATATATTGTGTTGTTTCTTTGCATTGATGCCCTTCTTGTTATACTGAAAACTTATTGCAAACTCGTACTGCTCACCAGCTTGCCCTTACTAACAGTCTGGAATTTCAAGAAGAAACAAGGTATGCCCGCCACTGCATGTCGCCTTTCCTAATGGAGCGACTGTAGAATGCTGCAATGTGGTTTCTTTGCACATGAGACGAGATGGATTTCCTCAGGAGCTGTGTCCGTGATTACGAAAATATCATGCTTAGGCCGAATGCAGCTCATATTGCAGCCACTAGAAACTGCAGCTTGTTCTCCAGAGGCTAGTAGTTTCTAACTACACCGTGCTCCCTGCTCAAGCTCAACACCTGCGAACTGTTTACAAAACGTTCGCTGATGACAGTTTGTAATACTCCCTGGTGTACTTACATGTGGTTCGTCTCCATGTCAGCTGAATAAAGAGGAGAACCTGTAACTATCTGTCCTACAGCACTGGATCTTTTCTCACGATACAATTCTCAAATATACTTCAAATTCGCATTCGGGAAAAGAAAACTGAAAAAGGAGGGCTAGAGTACAGTTGAAAACAAGAAGACAGTTGATCATTACTGAATTACTACTGTCCTGAAACAACGTACACATCCACAGAGTTTCAACTGTAGAAGAGAGAAGCACAGTAGATGAAAAGACGAACGAGTTGTACCTGAAGGCCTTTTGCTTCTGGCTTGAGAGATGGATACGGAACATTGGCTCTGTTTCGACGAATCCTCCCTACGTCTCTATGTAAAGCCAGCTGTAATTAGAGAAGCCAAGAGGTAATTATCCTAGCCAAGAATCGTCTCATAGCTCTCATGGATCAAATCAAGCACTAATTCAATGATGAATGTGTTGCATTAGTGTAACCGTATCTTCAATAAACTACCAAGAGGGGTGGGGGCAGTAAACCTAAAGATCACTGCTTTGAATGATAGGGGAGAAAGTCAATATTAGGACGCATGAGAGCAGTAAGGAGATATGATGTCCAATGTCACGGTATAGTTTGTGGCCATGATGTTTCTCAGATAGCATCCGTCTGTGCCTTCATAGGAGTAGTTTTGTAGAGTTGAGGCAACTCCGGTCCAAGTGTTGTTAATGTCGATATGCATGAACCCATCCGAGCTCTGATAGTTCGACAATGAGCTGAAAGAGCTCGAATGACCAGCAAGAGCTTGCTTCTCAGTCTTCATGGAGTGCGTCAGAACAGTGGAAATGTCGTAAGAGCTGTCGCTGTTCTCAACTTGCAAATAGTAGAGGAAAAATGGGTAAGAGTTCTTATCATGATACATGGCAATCTCCTTCTCGGCACTTTCAATCATAACTGTGGTCTCGGTTTCCGTGTACTGGTCGACGGTCGACAGAGCTGAAGAATTGGCAAACAGCATACCATTGTAGAATTTTAGAGCGTGAGACACCGTCGTCGTCAAGTTCCCAAATGACGATGCCACATGGCCCACGTAGGAGAGCGACCTGAAGGCAGTTGTGTTGAAGGTGCCATCCACACCTTCGAACTTCATGTCCACATGAGGAGTGAAGGAAGGCACCACAGAGGATTCGAGGCTCCCAGATGTCGATCGCCTGGAAGGATCGACCCACAAGTGCAGGTTCCCCTGCAGAATCCAAGTATCCAAGTTGTCCGTGACACTGAGGCCGAAAGTATGGTCCTTACCATCGAGAAGAGTGCCCACAAAAGGTGTGATGTCAATGTCATAGCTGGGTAGGTCGAAAGCTCCAATGGCCGCGATTGGACGCCATAAGAGAGGATTCACACCCCCGGTGTAGAGCACTGGAAAGGGCCACACAACTCCGGCCACCTTGTCATCGACTGTAACCACTACCTCCCTAAACGCCCCATTCGCAGGTAGATCAGTCAAATTGTTCGCTATCACGTACTCGTTGGGAGGATTCGTGTACCAGAATTCATCACGCGAGTGAGGTGAGAGGCAAACTTCGAGGACTGCTCGGTAGGTATTCCTGGGAATTCTCAGCCTGGATGTCTTCACTTCACCTTCTCCTGAGAGTTGGAACCAGTATCCACCATCTTTGTAAGTTGGCTCACTGATGGGCAAAATGACCTGCGCTGGTTCTGCCAGATGCCTCTCTATATCCCTCGTATGCCAATCACCAGCGCGGGATTCCCTCTCTGACAGAGTTTCCTCGTCCGAATCATCATCGTCATCTTCTCTATAAAAATCGACGGAAATGGTGACGTTGAATATACCAGTGTAAACATCAGTGATGACATTTCCCATGGCGGCAACAAGCTCCTGAGGCTTTCTCCACAGAGACGAGTACTGGGTGACATCTTTCTCGACTTCCCAGATGATTCCTCGTTGAGTAGGTTCTGCAGTGCAAGTGCGGAGTATCTCGACACCACCTAACCAGACTCCGGCAATTCTGTCAAATTGCCGCCCCCTGCAGACAGCACTCCATTTGAGCACCACTTTGTTCCACTTCCTACATCTCCTGTTGGGAACATACTGAGCCACAGGAGGGTCAACGCCATAGGTACCTGCAAATTCGTGGTACATCAATTCCATTGAGCAGATTGCGCGGCGCTTGGACTTGGTCAGGGGCATGGTGACCTCAAAAAATCGTTCCAACTCGGCGGTCTTTCCACCGTGCTCTTGGTCCGAATTGGCTGAAGTGAAGAGTTGCGCTTGCCTCAAATGACTCTGTGATCTGATGCCCACTTCCAAGGCTGAAGAAAGGCTCGAAGAGAATATTATAACTAGTAGCGATACCGCAGTGATAGATTTGCAGGCAGAGGCCAAATGTACTGCTTTTGTTGAGCCTGACAACAGCCACAAAGAATGTGAGCCACAGAGCTTATATAGCTGACAAACAAATTGAGAATCACGCCACTGACAGCACTGCAGGCACAGAGTGAATTTCTGAGCATAGAGCATAAATTCATCCATGAAATGGATAATCTGAAACTATCATATTTTTCCAGTCTCAATCAAGTAAATTGCTTTCATTACTGAGTCCTTTCCATACACGACACGCATGCAATAAACAAATACACTTGAATAGAATACCAGTTACACCCAAATATTGAATGAGATGCAGAAATACAGATTCTCATGAGATGTGTTCATGGCTTCTATCTGAGAGACACGATCACCAAAACCATCCTGAATTTCCATAAACAATTACAGCAATGCTGTATATGATTCCCGCAAGAAACGCACACGAAAGCAGCCAGTTCACATACCTGTGATCGAGAGTCCCATTTTTTGGGAGACCATTGTGAAGGCTCTAGAAGGTGGAGAGTCTGAAAAGGAACTTCCTTGTCCTGTTTATCCGAATTTCGAATTGAAAGTCGATGAACTAGTCTGAATTTCCCCTATTTCTACACACCGATCAGCATAAATCTCCAAACACAACAAATTGTTCATCTACGAGACAAAGCCACACCAAAAGAAGCCAAAACTCCAACGGGATCCTCCTCCGCCCGCTCAAACACTCAAACTCTGCATTTAGACTGGCCGATTCATCGCAAAACTTTCATTACAACGCCGATATAACCGCAAGACACCAATGCCTCGCCTCTCCGAAATTCCTGTTTATTTTTCTCCTCCGATCACACGTTCGCACAGCAGGTCACATATTTCCTATCGTACACGAGAGGATGCTCCACTACACGAGGAGATCTCAAATCCGGATCTACGTCACCCACGAGAACCCCCTAAGGGGCATCACAATCACAGAGCTCGTGGAACGAGCTATTTATTGAATGATGATGAGATGAGCTAAGCGCCAGAACGAGCTGGAGCGATGTCGAAGCGAAGATGTGAAGGCTCATTGGAAAGCTCGGTACGGTATGGGCAAAAGCCGAGCCTGAGTAGCCCCTGCCTTCCTTCACACACGCTCTCCCTTCAGAGCAGGAGGACCTTTATGTTGCCCTGCATCCACCGGCTGGCCTCCATCACAGCCGTCCGTGCTACTCACTTACTTGTCGGAAGTCTGCCCCACACCCGCAACAGTTCCTCCCAAATCTTATGCTCTGCCAATGATCCAAACGTGACAGCCGGGTCCGAGTGCCAGCTGCCTGAGATTTATGCTCTCGAGCTCCGGTTCCCCATCTAACGTTAAACCCTCCCCGTCTCAGCTCCGGCGACGCAGCGAATATAAAGTTCCCCCCCCCCCCCCAGTCCCCCTGTCTCCCCGTCACTCCGGGGCCCCTGCAGCGGAATCTCCGAGACCGCCAGGTTTATTCGCCCATCGTTCGTTCCCCTTGCGTCCTGGGACCAATAATCTACAGCTCTCGCGAAGCCATGCTGCTGTGCTTCCTTGGGTCCTGAAAGTACAGCGAATGGAGATCTTTATGAGGTATTTAAGTGGACACATGTTCCACCTCCAGAAACCAGGTGTGGAGCATGGTACACTGCAGTTCTACCGATTCTCGTGGTCAGGACGATCTGCGTTCGATGTCATGAACTACATTCAAGGTATGGTGCGAGCCTCGCAGGTTCTAACATCTAACAAGAGCGAAGGATTAAAGCTGTGGCTCAGAGTCCAGACGTTCTTTATGGCTCGTTTAGATTCGGGAGAAAAGTATCGGAAAGCAAAGAGTTTTTTAATTTGCTTTTCATTCAGTAATGATCGTCTCCTCGCTCGCCTCCTCCTCCACGTTCTTATTTTTAACGGTGGTTTCTTTTCTCCTGGCTCATGAGATTGACCTAATTTAACCACTCACAGGCTGTCGCAACTAACCTGGAGCCGCTCTTTCCAAGCTACAAACTATAATAATAAAAGTATTAAGTTCTCAAAAATCCTCTTTTGATGAAATTCGTGACCACACAAACATATCTGGTCTCATTTGTTCAAGACATGCACTTCAACGTGTCGATGCGAGAGTGAGTGCAAGCCTGTTGTGCTACAGGGCAATTATCACTCTCTTTGATTTATTGTACAATCTTCTTTGGGCATGATATACACATAGCACTAGCTACTCCAACACATAAAACATTAATCATGTAAGTTGATGACTTTTTCGATCATATCATAGTATGTCAATCATCTTAGTTTGATGTTTCAGATATCATTTTTTCATTGTGACGCAAGTGAGTCACAAATTAAGCATGTGGTTTCATTCTTGCAATACTTGATTGGATCTTCTCTACTTATTACTCTAGATGAAGATAGATTATGGGAAATTTGAATTATCACTTTTCAGTAATCGAATGATGAGAATAATTTTTTTGGAAAAATAAAATCATATTTGGAATCAAATTGATATGAAAAATCAATATAAAAAAATGGCCAATGAAACCAAAATCATATCAAATATAAAGATTGTGATGAATATACACTCTTTCGTTTCATCTTATGTAAGAGAAATTTGACTACGCACAATAAATTTTTGCATTTAGGTCAAAACCTTAACATATTCTATGAATTTGAGTCAATGTTTGAATATTTTTAGTACATTGTTGAGTCCAAAACTTTGCTCATTGCAGTATCTACAAATGTTTGCATATGAACTTTTCCTTGTTCTCTGTGTATCTCAACTGTAATCATATATTTTTAATTAACTAACATTCGTGCTTCAACTAATAAATTTCTGATTTGAAATTTCTTTTGAAAAAAAATTAATCTACAAAAAAAAAAAATTTGATCTGATGATTTTATATCTTCATGAAAACATTTTCTTTAATGTAAATGAGTCAAAATGATCCTTATATTTAAATCTTTTCAAAATGAAAAAAAAATCATTGAAGTTGTTAACAATATGTATAAGGTTATTTGCAAGGGCTTGACAAAAAATGTATAAAACGTATAAAAAAAGAAAATCGGTTTATTTAAAAAAGATAAGAAATTTTTTTAAAAAATTGAAAAAACAGAACAAAAATATTAATTAAAAACATTTAATTGAGAATTTAAAAAACTTAATCTTATTACAATCAAAATAAGAATTTATCATACTACTTCTAGATCAATATTTGGCTGAAAAGTCATACTTTAATCTGAACTTAATTTTGTTTCAACTTCTAAATATTATTAAAAAGTGATAATTATTAATCTAATTGAATTTTTATTGCAAATATATTAAAATTATTGATCATAACTCATATCATTTTAGGATGATAAAAGTCGTGGGTTCAAATTGCGTTACTTTGAAAAAAATTAGATCTAATTTTAGTAATTGAAACAAAATCGAATCCTAAATCTAGGTAACAAAGATTGAATACATTTGCTTTTGGTGTTTGTCTTCTCATGAATCTTGATGCAGGTAGATTTGCGGTCTTTACATTACAAGTGTACGCGAACGCTAAAAAACTTTTGTGATTATTTATTCTTAACGTTAAATTATTAACTTGGTTAAATTGTTCAGAGTGAAATCATAGACACATCATTTGACATGAATGAGATCTTGAATGCAATTATAGGTGGGATGAAAGATATATTTATTTTTCATCTTGAAATATATTTTCATTTTTTCAACTTAAAACTTTTTTTATATTTTTATTACTTGCAAATCATTTAAAATCACAAAAAATAAATATATATTTTTTTTCGTTCTAGAATGCCAACTTAAGCCCGCATTGACGGAGTCCATAGAGCGATGCAAGAATAACGTTATATTTATAACTTGTACGCTAAGTTGAATTGTTATGCACAAAACTTATTATTCATTCAATTTAATATATAATTGCAAAAAAATTCACATTTATATCCATTTAAAATTGAAATATGATTTAAAAACATATAATAAATAATAATAATATTTTTTTGATTTTTTGGAGATGTAACTTGTCTTATGTGATAAATAAATTACCATTTTATTGATAGAAAAGATAGGTAATTACTCGATTGCTCAAAAAATAAGCCATATAAAAATCATTTATTCAAGAAAATATCACATTCATATGTGATTTGAAAGTTTTGATATGACGATATGAAGCTAAGATTGAATAACTATTACTTTAATCTAAAATATTATCATAGATTAAAGATTATGATTTTATATATGAATTCCAAAAATTTATAAAAAATGTGTATTTATCTAAAATTTTAAAAATACTTCTTTAATCATCAACATTTTTATTTGTAAATCATCAATCATTGTAATATTTTAGTTTTATTGTCACATTTTATTTTTTTTGTGGAGGTGAAAGTTTTGAGCTTGATGTTTAGATTAATTTCAGAGAAACATGACTCCATGTTTACAATTTGGTTGCGATGCATGGGCTCAGATTGTAGTGAGCTAGCGATATTGAATGGAGCGACATTGTGAGTGTACAACCTTGCTTCCTTGCCAAGGCAAGGTTCATGCAAGGCCTTCATGTAGCCAATGTCCTCGCTGGCTCATCTAATAGCAACTTCAGTCTGCCGAATTTAGCATTTCAATTACTCAATTGAGCATGAATACTAAATTTTTGTTTGTAAATCATCAATCATCTTTAATATTATAATTCCATGAAATAATTATATTTCAATTTGTGTGATAATATTTTTAAAATATATAGCAATATATTAATTAACATTGAGTGTTAAATATGATTATAGCCAAAAATAGTTTAAAATTTAGAAGATTGTATCAATCAATAAAATTTTCTATTTCAATTAAATGAATATTTATATGAAATATTTTATAAAATATTTAATTTTTTGAATTAATTAAAAAAATAAAAAATAATCTCTATTATTTTTGTATTTGAATTTATGATATAAAATATAAAAATATTTTTTATCATATTTTATTTAATATCACATCATTTTTAATATAAAAATAAGTTACATTGAATTTTTTAATTTAAAGAAACTTTTTTAGTTATTTTTCATAAATTTAAATTTATCAATATCAATATCAATATTTAACACTCGCTGATCAAACATGCTGGCAATTATATCATGATGATGTATCATCAATATTAACTCATTTGACTTTACGTTTGAGAGTTTTAGATGAAGATAGTAGTAATTTTGTTTATTGAATTTGATGTTTTGGAGTAGGATGATCTGAGCTTCAGAAATTTTTATATCTCTGATTTTATAATTAAATTTTATATTTTAAAAATGGATAATCTGAGCTGCAGAGATTTGTATATCAGCAGTTTTGTTACTTGAATTCAATATTTTGAAGCCAAATTATCTTAGGTGTATAGATTTTTATATCTGTAAAAAAAACTTAGTAATCTTAAAGATGATTTTCCGAAGATGAATTTGAAGAAATTAACATAAGATTGCTGTCAAATTTTATGTTCAATAGCAATTTGAAAACTTTTTACATAAATATTTTAGCCAACATTTTATTTGTAAAATTATACTTAATTTATTTTTTATTTTTTTAAATTAATATAATTAAACAAATCAAAATTTCAAAAAATTAATAATTCATCCTTACATTATATTAATTTTCAGTAGTTTAATATTGTTATCAATATTTATGATTTTTTGTAAATAGTTGAATTTTTTGAATTTAAAATATCACTTAAATTTTTTTAAAGAAAATTATAAATTATTTTTTATCTTCTATCTAGTGTGAGTTTGAGTATGCAAGTGATAGATTTATGTTTTGTGCTCTAACAAAGTCCGTTGCAATGATTTACATCAACGGCTACAAGCTGTGAAAACTATCAGACAAAATTAATTTAATCAATATTATACTTATGAAATATTTATACAAGATAAAGCAACATTGGGAATTAAATAAGTTCTTGTGCTAACTCAAATTAGTTTGACCTCAATTTGAGAAACTAAAAAAATTATCAACATAAAAAAAAATACACAATATATGATTTAATCCACAAGATATGATAAAAAATTAAAAAAATCATCAATAATATTTTTTTTAAAAAAAATATTTCAAGAAAAAAATAGAATTAAAAATTACTATAATATCATGTTGAATTTTCATAATATATTAATTTAGTCATGTATGAAATTTTTAGTTTTTCATTTTTCAGTAGTTATTTTACATAGTATATCAGATAATATTCTAACATATTTATAACTGAAATGAACTATATCTAAGCCATAGCCTAAAAATTATAGAGTTTAATTAAATTTAAAATTTTACATTATATATATATATATTGTTTCAAATAAATTGCTAAATAAAATTATCTTGATAAAAGCATGAGGTGTACTGATTTTAGCACTAAATCCAACTATTTCAATAATTTTATCAAACAC